CCCGCAGCAGCAGCTCACCTTCCATCTGCACGCTGCTGTGCGGCTCTACAGAGGAGGTGAATGGGCAGAGAAAAGTTAACAATATAACTTTTGGCAGCTAAATTGGTGTCCCCCGTAGCATGGCACCCCGGAGGCAACTGTCCCCCTCTGTCTTCTCTCCCCCCCTCACTATGCCACTGGCCACCAGTCCTGGCTCTCAGTGTTCTGTGCTGTTATTTAGCTCTAATTTACCCCTAAATGACTAAGAGCCCAGTAAGCAGTGGAAGTGCTGGTAATGCTGCTAGACAATATTGCCCTCTTGTCAGTTGGCAAATTCTCTGATTTGGCACCAGTCTAGGGTTGCCAGATGGTTTCAGCAAAAATACTGGACACACTTGATATTACATCACAATCTACATTATATCTTATTTAGAAAATACTGGACATTTATATTTTCTCATTTATATTTTTTCAATTTGTTTCCCAAACAGAAAGCTCAAATACTGGATTGTTCGGTTCAAAACCGGACACCTGGCAACCCTCCACCAGTCAAGTCCCAAGGGGTTCAACCTATACAAGACGTTAGGACAAAACTTCTAATCAGATTTGTATACTCTAAGGACTACTTCCAGTGAATCATTAGCTTGGGTTTTGATAAAACTCTTTTCCTCCCTTTCCATACTGAGACATCTGTCCAGATATTGCAGATATCAGTTAGGTTATCTGTTTGTTTTTCTATCCTCTAATCTGATGCCACAAATATCTCATGAGGTCTGTGGAAGGTAGTCCTCGAGCAGTGTTTTGTCTAGATTGATAGAATGCTGATCGTTCTTCATACATGTGTTCTCACTTTTCTTCTTACGTTTACTGTTATGTATTTTTGTAAAAGAGTATTTTGGTCACACTGGTATTCCATGTTTATGAATGCTGTCTATTGGAACATTCTTACTGCTGAGATCAGATTTCGGCTGTGAAGTTTTATTTTGACTTTTTTAAAACTGAAGATCTATGTATTGTTGCTTTAAATGCCACTCAACTAAAGTAATCCATTCATACTGAGCAAGTAACTGAAAATACATGGGTTTTCAATATCTTTTTTTAAAGTCTCTCTAGAACATTATGTGTATATTTAGTTATTTTTAAAACAGCTCTTAAGCCCCTGTGGAAAACTTTAACTGTGAGAGAAATATATTAAAATAAAAGATGTGGTATCCTATGGGCCCAATCCTTTGGGTACAATTCTTGTATGTAAGTAGCCCCATTACATGAACTGAAGCATCAGATCTTGCTTCAAGAAATTGAGAACTGAGGATTGTTCATCAGTATGAATACGATTTTCTTAGATTTGGCTGGGATTTAGGAATTTAGTTTGCTTCAGTGACTTTTTGAGACTTAGCAAGAATTTGATTTGACTCTCTTTGTGTGTGTCTTTGAGGTTATTTTTCTAGAAAGGAAATCTAGTAAGCAAAGTATAATTGTACCATATGAAACTTTGCATATACTGTGTTATAGTTACTGGAATATCTCTAAGACTTGTTTCCTTTTTTCTTTATTGCAGACCTATCCATGGCAGTGCAGAAATTTTCTCAGTCACTACAGGATTTCCAGTTTGAGTGTATTGGAGATGCTGAAACAGATGATGAAATTAATATTGGTAAGCATGTTCCAGCACACTAATATTCTCATTTTACAACATTTAAAAGATGTGATTATAAAATGAAGGTGTAAACAACCAATTCTGTCAGTTTATGCAGTTACGGTATGTCTGTACTACAGATTCTGCAGCAGCACAGGGGTTTTTCCGTTGCTGTAGTTCATCTATCTCTCTGGGCAGCAGTAACTAACCCTATACTGAGTCTGCACCAGGGGTTAGGTCAGTTTAAGCATGGTATTGCTCAGGGGTTTGAAGTTTTTGCATCCTTGAGTGACATAGCTACATTGATCTACGTTTTATATAGATACCAGGGCTTAATTGTGAATCGAGGAGGAAAAACCTTCGGAAGTTGTTGGAACACTTTATTTCTCTCTCTATATTAAAAAAACCTTTTCCTGCATGACCTTTTCCTGCCTCCCACAGCCTCTTCCCTTCCCCCTCAGCCGCCCCACCTCCTCCCTTCCTCCTTGCTGCTAACCCAGCAGGGGTCAGCATCCTATGACTCTGGAGTAGCAGCACTGAAGGTAAGATGCTACTGCTGCTGGGTTTGTTGGGCAGGGGATGAATGGGGGAAGAGGATTAAAAAAACCTTTTCCTGCATGACCTTTTCCTGCCTCCCACAGCCTCTTCCCTTCCCCCTCAGCCGCCCCACCTCCTCCCTTCCTCCTTGCTGCTAACCCAGCAGGGGTCAGCATCCTATGACTCTGGAGTAGCAGCACTGAAGGTAAGATGCTACTGCTGCTGGGTTTGTTGGGCAGGGGATGAATGGGGGAAGAGGACTGCATGGCAGGCTGGGGGGGGGCCGCGGAACCTGCGGGGGGGGCACAAAAGC